CCACTGACAGGAGAAGCAGCATCACCAAAGCTAGGTTGCAGGACAACAGAGTTCAGGGTATGGCAGGACTCCTCGACACCAGTTCAAGGGAGATTGCAGCCCGGGGAATCGGGCCGTGTGGTGTGGGGGGCCCTTTCTCTACCCCCAGGACATGCCTGCTGAGCACCAGAGCCTCCACCAGAGACCTTGGATGGCTTCCTGCTTAGCATGGCTGCTTGGGATCAGAAGGCTGAGACCTCCAAGCTCACCTCATCCGTGAGAAGAACATATATTTTTAAAATGAACTCCTTCCTCCGTTCATTGCTCTAAAGTAGGTGTGCTGGACAACACCGTGGTTTAAGTCTCTGGTAGCTCAATTCCCCATTGGGCCTCCTGGACAGGGGCTGGACTTGATCTCAGTTCCCCACTGGGCCTCCTGGACAGGGGCTGGACTTGATGATCTAGAAGACCCCTTCCATCTCATGCTATGAGTGGGTGCTCAGCCTTCCATTCCTTGCAAAAACCGTCCCCTGGCACCTTTTATCAACGCCTCCCATTCTCCTTATTAACCAGAAAATACAGGGAAATGTGCTCTAGCTCCTCCTAGTGACCCGTTTTGATACTGCGCAGAAGGGGACACAATATTCAGCTCAGGCAATAGCCAAGGAACTTTTGTTTCTAGAAGGGTTTTGACCACTAACTGGGGTGCCAGAGTGGTACAAAGTGAGGCAACTCCCAGGAGTTGTAGAGTTGCTAAGCAAAGATGCTTTTTGAATGATCCCCTGCTTTAGGACCTTGGGGATAGCTTTTAATTCTGGCGGTGACCGCATTAAGCCAACCAGGAAGAATTCCTGCTCCTGCGCTCAGTAGAAGATTTAAGGTCTTGTGCTCTGAAGCACGTTTGTTTACAACGCTTGGCAGGCATTTACAACAAAGGGTTGGGAGGGGAAGGGGAGGCGGCTGACCAAGGAGAGGAGCGTATTTTGCAGGAAAGCGACGTGGGTTTCCCTTGCTGTCACCATATTCAGGAAATACCTTGCTTCCTAAGAGTGAGCCCAAAGTGATGGAGTCTTTTGTTAATGAACCACCGGGAGTGGTGGCCTTTTTGATGCCAGAGGCAGTGTAGAAACCAACCAAATTGATACTATCTGGACCTGTTCCTTCACCATGATGGAGGTTTGGGGCCAAAGGGTCGCCCAGAGGAATTCTTGCCACCATCACCCAATCAGCGGGTGTGTTTGGGAGAGACTAGGAATGTGGAGGTGCCATTCAATGATGCCCTGCAGTTTAGGCTTTGAGGTCTCAGAGTAGACGGAGAGCTAAACGCCCTTGCCCTCCAGCCAGCTTGCTATGCCCATGGCCGGGGGGGGGGGGGAGCCCGTCCAGCGCCCCCCCCCCCCCCCCCGCCCCCCCCCCCCCGTGCGCAAAGCCGGGAAGAGGCCGGCGCAAGCTTTGCTCCCCTCTCCCTCCCCGACGGAAGCGGGAGATAGATGCCTCATGTGTGAGCCAGAGGCAACATCACTGGGCGGCTCGTACAGCGTGTGCTGAAATCGGAGGGGGGAGGCTTCCCTTCTCCCGGACTTCTGACTCATCCTCCGCCCCACAACTTTGCTTCTGGCCGCCAGCCACGGTTGGCAACGGGTTTCAGAAGGCAGAGCCGGCGCACGTAGGGTTGGGCGCCCGCCCTGCCAAGAGGCAGAGCGGCGGCTGCGGCTCTCTAGGTTAAGGAGGCCATGCAGGTACACCTGGGGCAGGGGGTTCTACCCCGATCTCCCCCCCCCAAGCTATCCCACACCTCTGGGGCTAACCCTGCATAGGAGCAGCGCCTCCGCGCACGGAGGATACTCCTGGAGAAGACGCGAAAGGCCGTCCGTTCGTCAGCCCTTTTTTGGGAGGGCTCGTGAGGCACGGGAGGGTCGGAGGGGAGGGGGTGGCCCCATGGATTTCAGGTCAAGGGTGCCCCAGGGCTGCCCAGACGAGGAGGCTTGGCGTCGGCTTCTTCCTCGCTTTCCCTCCCTCTCCCCACCTGGGTTGATTGATCTCCCCGCCGGCTGATCCGATCTTTCCAAAGGCCCAACCCAAACCCACTGAAATGGGGCCCTGTTTTTACCCGCTTGTTGCTTTATCTTTTTTTAAAAAAAGCTTTCGATGTACTTCATATAAGAAGGAGAGAGGCTATGCCCCCTCCAAACCATGCTGGCTCCCCTGGTCACTTCCCTGGAGTAACACTCCCCCATTGGAGAAACTTCAGTTCCCATCGTCTTCCAGCCAGATGGGGGATGATGAGCCTTGTAGTGGAACAACGCGGGAGGGGGGTGGCTACGGGGACAGCCCAGGGGTTCAGAATCAAGCATCTCCCCTTGGTTATGACTGAGCCTTTTGTGCCCCCCACACCCCACACCCCTCGCCAACTAGCCTGGAGCGAACCTTCACTCCCCCCCAACCCTAATCTCCAGTGGGAACGACCCGGTGTCCTTCTTTATGAGCCCCACGGAACGAGAAAACGCACCGTTCCCTTCGGGGAAGAAGGCGGAGCGCCCCCTGGCGGCCACCCGAGGGCCCTGCCGCCTCCGCGGTCTCTTCAACCGCGGGCGGAAGCCACTCCGGAGCGCAAAATCCGCACGGGGATGCCTGGATCTCTCCACGCGCGCAACCCAACAAGGCGCAAAGCGGGTTTTCTTTGGGGCCTCCAGCGAGACCATAAATGCGGGGGGGTGGTGGTGTTTGTAAGTAGAAGGCAGCAGGAAAAGAAGGACAGGAAGACAAATGTCTTATGCCCATAAGAGGTTTATTTGTTTTACTGTATTTTATTTAAAATATTCTTACCTCGCCTTTCCGCTGACATCCTTAAAAGGCAACAACATTCAAAGCTAAAAGCAATGAGTGTTACAGAAATCGGGGTAACTGATGCCTCTCTAGTGCATTACGAACCCTTGATCTCTATCAAGGCCCTCGGAGAGGTTCCCAAGCCTATGGACAGCCAATTTCTGTGGCCTCCCCCTGGAGTCCCCCTGCCTCATTCCTGGGACAGACTAACAGGGCGGCTGGTCAGGGAAAGATGCCCCTGCTTCTGGCTGCTCTCCCCTTGTGCCAGGTCTCTCCGGTACCCTTTCTGTCCCAGAGTGGAGGCCCTCAAGGCTCCACTGGCCAACCAGGGAGGGACAGCCAAGCTGAATGGTGGTGCTGAGCCTACAAGGAAGGGAGCAGGTGGGGGCTTAGGGCTTGATGGACGAACAACTCCCTCCCTGACCCAGGGGTGCCAGCAAGAGGAGAGTACGGAGGGACACACGTCTTCAGCCATGGCTGTGGCCCCTCCAGATGCTGCCGTTGTGGCATGCAATTCCCATCAGACACAGCCTGGCCAGTGGGGTGGAGGATAGTAGGATACCGTGGTGCTAAAGCTCGCCCTTCCTGCGGCCCTCCTGCTCTCAGGAAGCAGCCTTCAGCCAGCCAGTTCTTGGTTCTCTCTCCAAAAAGCCTCTGGCTTGGGTGGGTGGGCTGGTGGGTCTGGGCTAAATCAGGAAGGCTGGAAAGATGCTGGCCCAGGAATCTGTGGGTGCTCTGACCAGCCCCATCAGCTTGCCTGTCAGCAGGGGCATGGGGCAGGCTCACCTGGTGTCTGGGGGTCCTTGGTCTTTGCAGTGGGAGAGGAAGCCCCTCGCATCGGTTCCCTTGACGCCTTGTGCTTGGCAAGGAGGAGGAGAGGGGGGACTTCCCACCTGCAGGGTAATGGCTACCTTATACCCTGGATGACTGGGGGGGGGGAGACTCCCTAGGCAGGACATTGCATGGGTGTGGGTGTGGGTAGGCTGGGGAGTGTCATTGTGAGAGCCAAACTTAGGCCACCCCTGGATCCTTTCTACGTCCCCTGGGGTAGGATCCTGTTGCAGAAACGGAACAGTCTAAGGGTCTTCTGCCCCCGCCTCAAGGCTCACCCTTCCTGCACTGGTTGCAAGAGCCGTCACACAGTTGTGCAGGGGAGGGGACTCGGGGACCTTCCAGGCCTTTTACAGTCCCCCTTATTTATTTATTTTGCCCGGGGTGGGGGGGCAGCAGGTGCGCGTTTCGAAGCGCGGAAGGCGCAAGCCGGCCAAACGGAGAGGGGCTGGCGGTGCCTTGGGGGGGCGCGCGCGAGGATGGGGCTCCTGACATCCCCCCCTCCACTCCTTTGCCTTGAAAGGCTGCTTGCAGGCGGCTACTCCACCGGAGCAGCTCCCAGGCAGAGATCCTGCCCGATGGAGAGGGCATGGTGCCCTCCGGAAGGAAGGCGTGGGACGGGAGTGATGCCCCCCTCCCGGCCTTATGCCGCACGTGGGGGGGGACT